TACGACAAATGAGAGGTTAAAACATCAAATTCACCTTTAACATAAAAAAAAACAAACAAACAAAAAAACTATATCATATAGATCTATAACAGATGCAATTAGAAAAACATATCATCAATTTAAAACTTTTAATTCATAGTTAAATACAGCAAATTCACTATTTAATACAAAAAAAGTATGTATTCAAAAGCATATTATCAACTTAAAATTTTTAATACAAACAGTTCACAGTTTAATACAATTAATTCATAGTTAAATATACAAAACTCACAACTTAATATAGTCAAATTTACAGTTTAAACAACAAATTTTTAGCTTAATGCATTCAATTCACAGTGTTAAACACAAATATCACAACTAAATACACAAACTTCATAGTTTAATATACAAAAAATATGCATTCACAACTAAATTCATAGCTTAATAACTTACCAAATTTTATTGAGACATTTCATCAAACACCTTGTGTGCATTTTTTTTCCAGAACTTTATTTTGTAAGCACCATCAATGTAAACACCATACACACACCAAATCTAACCTGAAAATGGACAAACACATCAGATCTGATGTCGATTTGGTGGTGTTTTGATAAGAGATAAGAGAGACAAAGATGAAAATGAGTTATAAATGAGAAGGAGGCGACACATAATAGATCTAGTACAAATCCGTCAAACATTTCACCGAAGAGCTTCATACTCCGTCACATCCGTTATTTCGGCGAAGCAGATCGAAGAGTGTTTCTTGTGCTTCATCAGATCAGAAACGTTGGAGATCCGGATAAGAAACATATTTAGACTTCAAAATAGAGTGTAGTGTTTTCTAGGTGTTCTACCAAAACAAAGCGGCTGATGGAAAGAGATAGCCGATGCTGGTGAGATAGATGGCGTTGGAAGGAGGTGACCCTCGGTGGTAATGTCAGATCTGAAGTCGGGGGTTCTAGATCTGAAGGCGAATGCACCAAATCCGAAGGTGAATGCTTCAGATCTAAAGGCGACAGCTCCAGATCTGAAGATTGTTGTATTCCGGCGACGGCGACGGTACCGGCGGTAATGCTGACAATGGTGGTGGTCGTTGGCAACGGTAGGAGGTAAGAGAGAGAGAGAGAGAGAGAGAGAGAGAGAGAGGGAGGGAGATGAGAGCAAAGTTATGATCATGACTTAAGTTATAAGGTAAAAAGCAGTTCTTATGGTTCTTAACTTTTTATGGTTCTCATTTGAACCTTTACCTATATATATAGGGTTGAAATCGGTTGAGAACTCACAGTTTCCCAAGAACCTAAGAACAAAAGGTGGAACGTTGGATCAAAATCAAATCATTAAGGGCATGATCGTTATCACACCAATCTCACTTTTTTTTTTTTTCTGTATTATTGGAAATAGTAATAAAAGGCTCTCAAATTAACATTATAAAACAAAATTTTGGATTTTTTTACAAAAAAATAAGTTTTGTTTTTTTTTTTAACTACAGATTTTTTAACTTTTTTGGAAAGCATAAATTTTTATAAATTTTGATTTTTTTTAAACTGCAATTTTCTCAAAAAAAAAAAGAAAAAAAAAAAAAAGAAAAAAAAACTGCATTCTTTTTGAAAAAAAAATTGTAAATTTTTTGAAAAAAAATGTATTTAAAAAAACTACAAAGTTTTTAATAAAACAATAATTTTAAAAAAATGTAATTTTTTTCTAAATTTTTGCAATTTTTTTTCTAAAAAAGTGGAACTTTAAAAAAAAAAAACTGCAATTTTTTTTTATTAAAGCTTATATATATATATATATATATATATATATATATATATATATATATATATATATATATATATATATATACACTAAAATCAGTAAATTTAAAAAAAAAAAAAAAAAAAAACTAGAATATATAAAAAAAAACTCTAATTTTTTTAATAAAAAAATCGACATTTTAGATACATATATGCATATTTTTTTCAAATGAATATATGCATATTTCTTATATTATAATATTCGTAAGTAAATCATAAAAAATCTCATTTTTATTAATCAATCTATAAACATAATAGTACAAGTATTTTATTCGATATAAAATAAAATATAAAAAATAAAAAATGATACAAAGATTCAGGATGATATCATTTCTTCATATCAATATTTTCATATGTTTTTCAATTTATCACTTTTCACCTCTTCAATATTTTCCACAAATTCTTCAAAATCTACAAGAAAATTAAAAATTTTGATTAATGCAAGAACACTCACAAAAATGTACATGTATATATCATATAAGATTTACATGTGATTCATATGTGAATTACATATGATTTACATGTGAATCACATGTAATTCATATGTAAGTTACATGTTATTTACATGTAATTCTTATATGATTCACTTGTGATCTACATGTGAATCACATGTAATTCATATGTGAATCACTTGTGATTCATATGTAACTCGTATGGGATTCACATGTGATTTACATGTGATTTTATATGTGAATTACATGTGATTTATATGTGAATCACTTGTTGTTTATATGTGATTCACTTGTGATTTATATGTGAATCACTTGTGATTTACATGTGAATCACATGTAATCCATATGTGAATTACATGTGATTTTCTCTATAACGATATGAGATTTGCTGAATTCCAAAACACAAATTCAAAAATAGAATGCTAAAGAAGCAACTGGTGATTATTAGTGCACTATATAATTAGTTTATGTCCAAAAAATAATATAAATATTAGAATATTTGTAAAGATTTTGCATTTTTTTAAATTAAAATATAATAATAATAATAATATTCATGTACCTTGGTTGTTGTGCTCCTATTTTCATTATCATTTATCCAACTCATCATCTTAGAGGTCTTTTCAAGTTCACAATCAATTATACAAGTTCTGTATAATCATTTGCATTATCATTTTCAGGTGAATTGGTTATTAAGTTATCACTTGAGGTCTTTTCAAGTTCTGTATGATCACTTGAATCAATTACAGGGAGCACTGGACTTGAGATGATCATTGAATCAACACCAAAATTGTTTGATGGTGTTTTACCAGTGATGGATATTGTTATTTCTGAAGTAGCATCATGCAAGAATTATATGACATCAGGATCACATACTAAGAGAACAGACAAAAATGTACAAAAAGTAACCTTTTTCTTACTTTTGAGAGATTAGATTTTGATGACTTCTTCCAAAAAAACACAATCTTGATCCACTTTGCAGGAGACTTCCCCATTCTTGACTAATAGATATGTTACAACTCTAAATTCTCTGTATTATCCCAAAAACAAACTCTTAATGAAGCTACAGGAAATGAGACATAAAACATAACCAAAACTGTGAAAATAACTATCCCAAATTCGAACAACTAGAATGATATCAAGATCAATATGTCCAAAAGGAAATTACCACTCCATCATACTCAATAGGGTGTCCAAACCAGCTACTCTGTATAATACGTTAGAGAAAACAAACTTTTTTGCCACCAAATAATACAAAATTTAATTCTAGATTGTAGTTACTTGAGGAGGATACAAAATCATGAATGTGGCTAGAATCGTTAAGAACATAGCAACTGGTTGCAGGTAAAACCACAAAACCAACGATGCATGTTTGATAGAGGAAAGTTGGAAATGAAACAAGAAAACAAAGTTTTCATTCAAAAAAAAGAACAAAACTGATACACATTAAACAATTCGCTTCTTAATTCTTACAGAGATGAGTAAATAACTACAAATTCATAAATTACCTGTAAAAATGGCTGAGAAAAAACTGATCATTAACAGCATTGGAGCATATGTTATGCCTTGGGTACCAAGAAAATACAAGTATACCAGGTGCTCAAAAGGCTGCAGTCTTCCACAAATAAAAATATCTCCTACATTTCTAAAAAAAAATCTTCAAAATACTAAATTGGAATTGGTTTATCATTCATGAAGTCAAAGTGAAGTTAACATGTGATATTTCTCATTGAAGCATTTCATCGAACATGTTGAGTGCAAACAAATATCTATATTTTTCAATAACACAAGTGTCTATTTTTATACCTACAATCAACACACGTATTTAACTCTTCTTAAAAACATATTGACTAAACATGTTCAACTTAATGATTAGACAAAAACAATTCATAAAGGTCAAACAAAGGTCATGAGTCAACTATAGAAATAGATGATACATAAATTTTGATCGACAATGATCATATTCTTCGTTCATGTATTCAATCCACAGTGGAGGCCGAGATGAAGTTGGCGATTACGATGTACTCCAGGGAACGAATTGATGGAGGATAAACGATTCAAAATCAAAGCATCTTCAGTGGAGTTTTTTCTATGAAGAACGTGAGATCAAGGAGTTCAGCAACAATAAAACTTCGATCGTTGGGGAATTTCAGATTCGTGTGAGTAGAAGCAATTTCATAATCGAAAGCATGGAACTGGAAGAAGGATTTGAGGCAATTCGACGGAGGTGAGTCGTCGGAGGATGAATCATAGCTTTGAGTGAGAGAGGAAAACGGGGAGGAAAGAGAGAGATGAAAATGTATTTTATCAGATATTATATTTAACGAATCATTTAATTATACTTTTATTCCTATAATATCCCTGACTGAATTAATTAAGATACCCCTCATTTTTTTGTCTACTTATTTACAAAAACGTCACCTTGCATCTCGACCCTTTCTTTTTTTGATCCAACGTTCCACCTTTAGTTCTCGGAAAAATTTGAGTTCTCAAATGATCATTTCTCTTTCTCTCTCTCTTTCTCTCTCTCTCTCTCTCTCTCTATATATATATATATATATATATATATATATATATATATATATATATATATATATATATATATGACAATTAATAAAAGTATTTTATTTATAGTCATTAGCGGTTTGAGGCTTGACTTGAGCTTTCACAAGCCAGCCCATTTTACTTCAGCCCACATATAAGAAAGTTAAGCTGTGGTATTGTCTATTCTGTATAGACATTTTGACGAAATCGGAAAGAAGAACGAGAGAGATGAGTGGGAGAGAAGTTCCTCGGAGGGAGAGTCCGTGGGGATTACCCGACGGAGACACCCGACAACCCAAGGCTCACAGATGCAACGATCGCATTGAAGATGTTGTCCAAGTTAGTTTCTAATTTTCCTTACTTCTCCTTTCTTTAATTTGTCTGCAAATCTGTCATTGCTGTTGCCTCGATGAATTTGTGAATTTGCTCCTCACCTTTTAGGGTTTCTTGATGTTTTTCAAGTGATTTGTGGACTGTGGTGCTCCTTTTGTGGTTAATTGAGAAAATTGGGGTTTCGTTCTATTTGAAACTGTGGTTGCACTGTATGATTTTAGTATAAACGAACTTGTCGAATAAGAAACTTCTCCGATTCCTTTATTGTAGTTGGATAGATCTATAGGAACACCAGGTGCAATCTGTATAAATCAGTTCATTGTAGTGTAAGAAATCTATAGGAAAACTAGATGCAATTTGTATAAATCAGTTCAAACTGTAGTGTAATTAAGCTCTTGAAGATCATGCAATCACTCACTTAAGGCTGCTATATATATATATATATATATATATATATATATATATATATATATATATATATATATATATATATATATATATATATATATATATATATATATATATATATATATATATATATATATATATATATATATATATATATATATATATATATATATATATATATATATATATATATATATATATATATATATAGGAAACTAGGAGCAAGTGTTATCATTTCATTTGTAATCTGAGCAGCCTTAAGTGAGTGATTGCATGATCTTCAAGAGCTTAATTATTCTTACATTTTGTATACATATTTATAATTAAATGACTCTTTAACTTGTTTGGCATGTAGGCTTGTTTTGAAGGTAACCCTTTTAAGACAGTTCCTGGACCTTTTAAGCTTTTCTGGCGTTGCATGCAATCCAAACCTGGGTAGGGAGGGTATTTGTATTCCATTTTTTTGATTGGCTGTTTTCTTTTCTCTTTTTTTAGCTGAATATGCTTCTTTATATATTTGCAGTGAAGAGCCTACTGAACCATTTTACTATTTGCAATTAGCACCACCAACTAGAGAAATCAAGCTCGAGTAAATGCAACAAGATAGATAGTTTCTATCTCTTCTCTTCTATTCTCTTTATTGGGGATAATAAAATCCTTTTGTGCTTTTGTTCTGGGATCATGAATAAAGTTTCTATCTCAATATCTCATCACCTTATTCTTGTCCAATTTCATTACATGATCACAAACACATAACATCACAACCGAAAAATGTACACTCGCATGCCCTCCAAATCTTACATTGAGTGGAAAAACATTATTTATTATATGGTATACATTATATTATATGATCACATTGACCCCATTGTTCTAAACATACAAAACAAAAAAACTAAAATGACTTTTTTTGGAAGTGGTTACGATAACCAGACTTCACGAAGAAGTTCATAACGTGAGTTGACTGCAACACGAGATGTTTGGTTTGTATGTTGACCGTTTCCATTAGTTTGTGATGAAGGTAGTTTATCGATAATCGAACTGAGTGGTGAATCGAGTTCTTGTAGTTCCTCATCACTTGTATAACCTTTTCTTTGAACCACAGATGCATTTCTACTCAGTTGAGATTTTCCACCGGCTTCCGACACCTTCTGAGAGATAGCGGTGGTGGAAGGCGGTTTGTATTTGACCGGAGCCGCTGCGTATGGGAAGCTGCTTGAATCGTCTCCTGATAATCTCCGCTCTATAATGGACTACACCACACACACAAACACACACACAAAGGCCTTCAATGCATGTTAAATACAACACAACATGTTATGTCGTGTATAAATGAGATGTTAAAGTTGTGTTTTGAAAATGAATACAAGTTGTACCTCAGCATTTACTGCTTCCAAAACAGCACCAGGAACTGAATCTGGACAGAATTCGTCTGGAGTGAAGTTGCAGAGAATCCGTTTAAGCAATGGAAGACTTATTGATGGGCATACCTCGGTTCTAACTGATCTATCCATAAGCATGTCTTTAGGTAGCATTAAAAGATCACTTAATGCATTCAACAGATGAAAACATTTGAGTTCACCATCATCTTCACCATGCTCATCGTCAGTGTCCATCCCAAACCAATCAGAAAGCCATCTAGACCAATTCCCAACCTAAATAAAGAAAAAACATATCAAAATATCATTATCTCAATTCTCAATAAAAAAATAAAAAAGAATCAGTTTTTTATTTTGTTTGTTTGCATACCGCGTTCTTGAGTTGTGCCCCAGAACCAAAATTCAAATCCCCAGCTGGAATAGGCAAAACCCTTGGTTCAACGATAGGATCTGACACAGGATCAGTTGGGATTTCATGGACTGATTCACGAAGAATAGCATTAAACATGGCTACATCAAGTCTAGCAACACATTGTTCCATTACCTAACCACAAAACAAAAATGGAGGATTATTATTATTATATAATTTGAAGAACAGAATGATACGAAAACAAGATAACACAATTATACCATTCTTGCCAAAACAGGCAGACAACCACATTCATGGCCACCTGCACGAACAGGACAAAGTCTCTTGAAAGCATCATGGAAAGCAATCCTCCATAAATTAATGGAAAAGTTTCCCTGTTGTTGGTTTCCCAAATTCCCATTACATTTATTCCTATTTGTATCAGCTGCTAGAGATTGCATATTAGGAGTCAATGTCTGCACATATCAAAACAATAAAGATTACAATAGCGTTGATATAAAATTATAAATTCAGATTTAATAAACTAATTAATACCTACCTGCCACCAAATAGACTCAACAATTCTTGAAAAGATCCATGACTCGACTTTCTCAAGTGCAGATGTGAAACTTCTTGTTTCTTCCCAATCATCAATGAAATCCATAAAATCAGGTTTATTGATTTCTTTACTTCCAGAATTAGCCTTCCATGGTAGTGGTGAAGGGGTAGAACTAGAACCTTCCTTTTTATAACTTGATTGACATGAACTACCAAAAGCTTGTGTTATTATTTCCCTCAACACAACCGCGTTTGACCACCAGAAAGTCAACCTGTAGTATAGTTACTAAATTGTAAGAAAAGATGAAGGAGAAGATAATTGGAAATCTGATTGAAAGATTGAAATCAATTAATTACCTTGGAACATCATTGCCACAAGATTTTGCTATCAAAACAAGCCCTGAAGCAGTGTTCTTAGCAATGGTGGAGCGTTTTCCTTGAGAGTAGTGTTTGGCTGCATGAATATAAAGCCTGGAAAGTCGGCGTGCAGGTGTGTGGACTTTATGGGCTGAGCTACCATGCTCTGGTACTACAGAATATAAAGAAATTTCAAGAGCAGCAACTTCTCTTAACTCCTCTTCAAGTTTCTCAATTCTCATTTCCATTTCTTCAATCTTTTCATCAAAATTCTCTTTCGTTTCATTCACTTCCTTTGGATCTTCACACGTTTGATCATCTATTCCTTCCGATGACACTGATGAAGGTGCAGATGATAGCTTTGGATGAACTTTCACACCCCCTTTTGAATCTTTTATGCCATTTGAAGAAGGTGCTCTTTTAGTTGATGATGATATTGTTTTGTTTTCAGGAGGCTTTTGTGAGACTATTGGAATGGTTTCTAGTTTTTCATCCCCACTTGTGGTGGATACAGAATCAGTGACTGTTTCAGAGTCTGATTCATCTCGTTCTTTCTCTAAGTTTATGATGTTTTGTTTGGGATTTTGAGATGCTTCTTCAGACTCCATGTTTATGTCTGGTTGTTTTACAGGCAAAGGTTTTGTATCTGTGTTTTTTGTTCTTGGTGGTTGGTTTGCCTTATTCTCTCTGATTTGGGATCTTACAGAACGTTTTGGTTGATTATTTGTTGTTGATTTCTTGTCTGTCTGCTTCATACTTGCTATGTTCTTTCTTCAACTGCAAACAGAAAAGAAATCTCCAGTTACTGAAATGAAAAGAAATCTCCAGTTACTGAAACCCAAATCCATTAATCTACTAAATATTATTAGAAGTATAAACAGGGAACATGTGATGCAATTAATTCATCCATCCAGTAAGGCATTACCAACCACACAGTCCTCTCATCAAATTACTATAATAATCCGAGCTCATATGTGAAATACCTTTTATAACCCTTGGTTGTTGGTGCTGAGGAAGTGAAGATCAACAACGAACAAACGCAAACTTATCTTTCTTCAAATCTATAGATTTGAAAGAGTGTAAATCGTTGAACTGCAAAAGGTTCGAATTACAAGTTTACAACAGATCTGAAGAAGACATAAGCGGAAACAGAGCAATGGCGGAATTCTAACTAGACATTGGCTCACAACAGAGCGAAATGTATGATCTTGTTTTCAAAAAGTCGGTTTCATTAACACGAAACCAATAGGTCATTAAAGTGAAAATTTAACAACAGCAAAACGTTGGATCGAACACCAGTATCTATCAACACTTTCGGCGGAATTGGTAAATCGAATCGACTAGGAAGGAGTATATAAAATCTACTGAAGCATATCGCAAGCGAAATTTCAAATGGAGAATGAGAGCAACTTTGTTAATGGACAAAAAATCATATCCGCAACAGGACAATATGAAGAAATAGTAGCAATACAGTGCTAATGGCTGTATGCGTTCAAAAAAGAACTATATGCCGAAAAAGAGAATCCGAAAATGGAAGAGAAGATCTAATCCTGAAATAGAGAATTCATAACACTTTGTTGTCAAATTTCGGAACATAAAACGTGGAAGAAGACGACGACAGACGCGACAAAATGATGTGTATCCATTTATAGATTTAGTAGCAAGTGCAATGGGCGTTGAACTAACCAAAAACTTTTTTGTTCTCTGAATTTCCCTTTTTTGTTGAGCTTCAAGCTTTTGAGGACGATGACAGAAGAAGCATCAAATGATGAATATAAAGCTGGCCTTGTGGTCCGCCATTGAAGAAATACAGAATCTTCGGGATTGGCAGCACAGCTCCTTGGACACCAAAAACTTTTAGATATAGTCCTTAAATTTCCTCTCTATCTCTCTCTCTCTCTCTCTCTCTAATCTATATATACAGGCGTATGTATGTATGGTCTCTCTCTCTCTCTCTCTCTCTCTCTAATCTACATATACAGGTGTATGTATGTATAGTCTCGTTCTCTCTCACACATAACTGTCCTCGATGGTTTCTCTCTCTAGAAGTACAGTGCTGTTGCTGAATAAAGTGACAATGAAAGATGAGAAATGCAAAACCAAATAAATAGTACGGCGATCACCATCCAAACTGGTCGTAATAATGATATTAGGAAATTACAGTTTTGCTCCTGTTATTTATAACCATCTTCATTTTTAGTCCAATTTTTGAATTTTTTATATTGATCATCCATGTGGTTTCCAATAGTTGCACTTTACTCCCTAAGACTAACTATGTCACTTCTTCTTTAAATGCATATAAAATGACCACCGCTGCTTCCTACTCTCCCCATCACCTCCACCATCGAGTGACTCCTTTAGTTATTGATGTTATCTCGATCATTAACATATGTCGTCAAAGAAGCGAATGCTTGATTTTTCATCTTCTTCGATGAGGAGTAGCACCTCGGCAATGTAGCAGTAGTACCTTTGTAACATCTTTTTCTTTACACTTTTTGAAAGATTTTAAGGGGTAACACAGGTTACCCCTGGGCCTAGTTACTAGCTAGTTCCGCCCCTGTCACCCACTATTTCTATATTGATTTCTAATGCACCCTGCAACACCATGGTGTCACCGCCTTTCGTCATCTACTCCCCACCAAATCTTTCTCACACTTCTTCTTCTCCCACCGATTCTCCTACCACCCGACAATCGTAAGATTTACTTCTTTCTGTATTCTTCCTAAGTTTGCGATCTAGGGTTAATATTTATCAAGAACTCAATAACCATTACAATGAACAAGGTTTCTTCTTCTTTGTGGGTTGGTGATTTAGCATAGAGTGGTAGTGATTGTGGGGGTGATATAGTGGTGATGGTGGTGAGGTTGATGGTGGCAAGGTTGGTTTGATTACAAGTTAGGATATGAAGTTTGAACCTATATCTAAGTTTGGTTACAAAAATATAAATTATGAATAAATATTGAAATCAAGTAAAATTGAGAGAACATTCCAATTTTTTTTTTATAAAATCAAAAGGTAACTATTTTTATATTTATTTCTCATTGATCCCCACCAATTTTGCAGGCTCAATTTGCAGAATAGTTGTTACGGACTACAAATTACCAAAATGATGTCATTTTTGCAATTCCGTAAGTCCCAATAACTATTTTGCTGATTGACTTTGTGAAATTTACAGCTAATATCAGAAATCCTTAATTTCTTTTTTAGTTTTTGAAAAAAAACTTAATATTCTAGCTTAAAGTTTTCTTTTTTCCTTGATCAAAATATCTTATTGATGACGAAAAATCTAATATATCTTTTGGGAATAAAATACAGAAAAAACAATGAATCCTAAATTTCTTATTATTAAATTTTAAAGTTATTAATAAAGTTAAAATTGTTTTAAGATAATAAAAAAAAAAAAAAAAAAAAAGAATCATTTTGTTTTGGGTGTAGTACTTTGGAACTTGAAAGCAGTATACTTAAAAGAAAAGAAAAAAATAGGAGGAATTTGAGGCTAAATGCAAATAAATTAAAATAATGGAGTAATGAATAAACGGGGTGTTGGGAAAGTAGGGGAGTTACCGGTATAAGTGTATAACTGTGTCGGTGTAAGATAAATTACCGGCAACTCCCGGTCAAGCTACGCGTTTCTTGATTCTTACGGTTACAATTTCTGAGTTCTGTGCATATATCTTTTTTTAAGAATGGTCGCTTCTGTGCATTTGATTCAATAAATAAACTATTTATGTTTTGCCTTTTATAGTAGAAAAAGAATATTTGACGTCAGTGACAAAGTATTACTATAGTACCAAAATCTTAAAAATCTTTTAATATGCTGCTTATGGAGTTCCGGTCTTTAAAGTTTGAAATGCTATAATGTCAAATGTGTAAATATGCTGATATGAAGGTGCAATTCAATTATCATTATGAAATATATATTGAAAAATAACACTCATCAACCCTCTTTCATCTACAAATTAACATCAATTGCTAAGGTGCAATTCGATTTATATTCTTGCCCAACAATTTTTTTTTTTGTTGGGGACAAATATGTATGTCGTAATAACAAGATGAAAATTGCTTTTTTTAGTGTAATCATTTATGAGATATTGTAATCAATTATAATGCTAATTTTGATGTCATGATTCATATATTGTTGTTTCTAATATATATTAAAAAACATTAATTTTTTATAATATACTAAATAATCATAAAATATATATTAGGAAACGAATTGTTACAGTAATATATAAATAATCATAAAATATGTACATTAATTTTTTATAATATACTAAATATCATAAAATATATATAATATTACATCAACAACCCAACAAACCAATTTAACATGCGATAAAACTTAAAAGCCACAATCGCAGGAAGTGAAAACACAAACATCTCTATTCCAAATAAGGTTATGTTTGGCGTACTAGTTAAAAAAACTAATTGTTAGCTGAAAAGCTAGCTGTTAAATAAAAACTAGCTGATAGCTGAAAAGCTAGCTAATAAAAAATAACGTTTAGTAAAACTAGCTGATAAAAAATAACGTTTGATAAAACTAGCTGAAATATATAAAATTACATAAAAAGACATGTAAGACTATGTGTTTCTATAATTAATTAAGAGGTGTATTTGGAAAATTTTAAAAAAACTCCTAAAAAGCTAGTCTACGTAGCTTTTCAAAAAGCTGACTTATAAGCTAGTTTATAAGCTACTTTTAGGTTTACCAAACACTACAACATAAAAAAACTCGAAAAATAAGCTAGCTTATCAGCTAGTTGTGCACGCCGAACACAATCTAAAAATTATATCTTATTTTTAATAATTATATTGCATCCATATATACCCAACTTGGGCCTCTAGCATCCTATCATTAACACTTAGTATTCCGGAAAATTTATTGGCATCCCAGCTGAGTTTTGTGATATTTTTATAGAGCATCTTATAAAAATAAGGAAGATCGTGGTCATTGAAGACTATATGTAATCATAGTTACAAGCATCTTATAATTCATAGATGTTGTACCATATTTTGACTACAAAGACATTAATCTTTGTAAGGTGCATATCCTTCTTATGCTAAGGATTGCTTGATCTCTTCAAATTCCTCGTTATGTTCTTCTTTACCCTCTTGAGGTCCTTTAAAGTTGTTTGTTTGTTTTCTCAATATCACTAAAAAAAGTAAGAGTTTGAGCATGTATAATGATGTAAAACAACAATCGGTGAATGGAAATATCCTTCACGAGTGTTTATATAGAACAAACTTTAGAGGTTTTAAACAACTTACTTTGGTATGCGATATTTTGTGTATCATTGTCTTTACATGGTTAGTGATTTTATTTTGGTTGATTGTTTACGTTATAGTCGTTGAATATTGTTATTTAATATTTTGTTGGTTATTATGATCAATTAATTTTAGTTTCCATTTTAGTTGTTAGTTTGTTAACTCTGGACCGTGAACATTCTATTAAATAAAGTCCCAACATTGTTCATATTTTGGCATTTTTAGAGAGTTTATAAGAATATGACATTTATCGATCAAGAACAAAGATTATTTTATTGTTTTTTGTTCTTTATAATGTTTAGTCATTATGTTCAAAATCATTCCATCATCATCCCTTTCCAATTCTTCTCTTTCTAAATTTTTTTTTTTTGAGGATATACATAGTCATTAACATTCAAATAATGAATGATATGTATTGATACTTGTCTCTTTTCTGAGCAACCATAAACTTTATTAGAAACAAAACTAAACTAATGAGGGTCTAGATAAA